ACCTTTGAGCTCAACGGTAATTAATTAGTAGTGGAAATAATTTCTGGCAGCATCACAGAAATGTAGCAGTGACAATAATACTGTATGCTGTAATCGCACTGGACAATTAGTGATACAAAACAACTGTTTTATCCTGTGAATAAAAGTATATTTGTCAATGTACCATAATAACAGAAGCGAAACGCAATATTGTGTCAGGACAATTTACTATTTATGCACAATAAACACAATAAATAAAGGAGCATAGCGCCACAATTTCTGTTCAGCGCCAGACTTGCTTGTAACCAATTATGTTAAGAAAAATGACGTATTAACTACTACAAAACACTGACTTTTGTGGGAATGCTTGGAGCAGACTAACCTGTGAGCTGGAGGGTTCTGGGACGTTATATTTGGTATATCCAGACCATCCGTCGGCTCTTACTTCGGAAACATGGCTTAAAAAATTTCTCTTCAACGACGTAATCCGATAAAAAAAAACAACGATCTCTTTACCCGTTGGCTTCCCGTGGCTGTCATGTGACCGGCTATTACAGTTAATAATACAACAGCTTCTTGCCATTTTTTGGGTTTGTTTTTATCGCTGTGTGACTGATTTCAATTGAAAGCCTGCGTGCGCTAGTACCTCTTGCCACAAGTTCCCAGAATCCTTTGCGGTTTTACCCCTGAATGACGTCACATTTTCTATCTTTATCCTGGTGGGCCGGTCTCTAGTCAAAATGCCCGGGCCGATTTTTTGTCCCAGTCCAGCCTTGGGTGTACCTGGACGACATCTTGGTACATGGTGCTTCTTTCTACGTTGCCCTTGGGGCCCTCAGACGGGTCCTGGAGAGGGTATTGGCAGCAGTGCTAAAACTCAACCCACAGAAATGCTGCTTCATGCAATGTCAGGTCACGTTCCTAGGCCACTCACTGGGGGCTGGGGGGGTCGGCACCATGGATGATAAGATCCAAGCTGTGAAGGACTGGCCCACCCCAAAATCTGTGCAAGGGAGATTCGGACTCCAGCAGAAATGATGATGGACCGACCCTCTGATGCTGATGAGGATCAACCAGGTTCTGACTATGCGAGGAAGCTCCAGGATCGCATGGAGTCTGCTCATGACTTTCCTTGAAGGAAACTAATAAGTGCGGGGGTGGGGCAGAAGATGAACTACAGCATCCATTCCAGAGGCCGACATTTTGACATTGGGGAACTGGTCTTGGTGTACAACCCCTGGAGGAAAAAGGGCAGATTCCCCAAGCTGGACAGTAACTGGGTTGGGCCCTGTAAGGTCCTGGAACACCTGGGGGAAGTGGTGTACAGGGTACAACTACCCCCCCAAGGGGAAGGAAGGTCGCCCTGCACCAGGACACACTGGCCCCCTATCGGGGCACGGACAGACCTGGACTCCACCCCTACAGACTCTTCCATCACCATTGTGACTCCCCCTACAGTGAGCCCCGTGAGCCTTGGGCCTGTGGCCGCTTCAGATGTGGCACCTTCGCCCAAGGAGGCACCATAGACCACCAGGCCACCTGAGAGACTTTATCCGCCCGGCGAGGGACTATCCTTGAGTATCCTTGAATGTGTAGTAGTCTAGAGGCCGTTTGGCCTGTCAATCAGATCATCTACCAATGGCAGAGAGTCTGGAGAAGAGCATGTGTGTGGTTGGCTGAGAGTGTTTGGGGGTGTTAGAGAATGTTGTTGTGTGTGTTTGCAGGGAAAAAGGAGCGCAAGTTGGGGGTTTGTTTTGACTCAAGAGAGTGCGTTTTTCCCTCTTGTTTTGGCGTTGGCTATGGCACACAGTAGCCGGTGTTACTGTTCCTAATATAACACCAGGTAACCGGAATAACGATAGTCTCTGTCTTCTGTCGGAGGGACGCTACAATACTAACCGAAAATGGATTTAGTTACATTCTGGACCATGTTTCCCGAATGCAGTAGCTAGAGAGCTGATTGGAGACCAAAACAGCCAATCATAAGTTTTGCATCCAAGTCTGTGATTGGTTGGTTTTGTGGCAGATTTATAACAGTGCACAGAAAGAGTTGAGTGTGCAGAGAGCAGAGATGATGTGAGCGAGAACGACACACTGAGAGCAGATGTCTGTGAGCACACAGAGCAGAGATCTGAGCAAGAGCAAATGCCAACAGCTGAGCGAGAGGGGCTGTTATTGTGTGTGTATATGGATAATAGCAAACACTCAAATACATTTCTTGCATGCAGCAATGAATTTTGTTCGCTCAAATTAAACTTTTCTTTGCTCAAAATTATTTTCTCCTCAAAATGCAGCATTTGTACATTTGTAAATTCTTTACGTGTGCTCAGAATAGAGGCACAAAAATAACACCGTAGTACACTGGCAATAAGAAGACAACCTCCAAAAAAAGAATGGTTCTGCAGGTATTGGCCACAGGTGTATCTTTGCTGTGTCCATATCACTGCTGCTGGCATGAAGCGGCAGCTGAGCTCATCGAGGAAAAGACATCCTTGTGTGCGCCCACAGGGCTTGTTCCATCTCCCAGCAGTCTCATGAGAGTGGAGGAGACATCGGGAGACAGGGTTAGGGTTGGAGCCCACTCCAGTCAACACTGAGTGAACGAGACCTTGATGGCTGAGCTGCAGGTCCTCTCATCCACTACTCTGAGACATTAGGCCTTTTCATTGTGTGTGTACTGGTCAGATCGTGTCAGTGCTGAGGTATGTAGAATTTGGTCATTATTTAATCGTTCATATCAAAAGTCATTTAAAACCAACTCAAGGACTGCAACCATATTTAATGGGAAAAACATCTATTAGCCATCAGTGAGTGTTAGTGGTATCACCAGACAAGTGCCAGTGTTAAAGGTTTAAATATTTAAACAAGCATGTGTATAGACAGACTCCAGGGGTCAAGCATCTGCCTTTTTGGCCTTTTCCTTGAAGGTTTTACAACTTATTCATCTTGGAGTCACTCTTTTTCAGAATTTCTGTAAATTCTTTGGATTTTCATTATTTATAAGGATAGTCATAAATCTTTATGTGTTTATAAGGACCGTCTTAAAAGAATGGATCAAAGTTTTGCATGACTCGGTGGGATATGAGTAGCATGACATCTTGCATTTTGGTGTTCAAATCATCCAAGTTTGAAAGCCAAGTGCATACTTAAAGTCAACTTCAAACTATCCATCCATCCATCTGCTTCCGCTTATCCTTTTCAGGATGGCGGGAGGTGCTGGAGCCCACCCCAGCTGTCTTAGTGAGGCAGGGTACACCCTGGACAGGTCGCCAGTCTGTCGCAGGGCCAACATATAGACAGGAGACAACCATTTGTACTCACATTCACACCTATGGGCAATTTAAAGTTTCCAATTAAAGTATCATATTTTTATGATTCTCACATGCAATATTAATTTTGCATTTGCCACTTCCAGCACAAAGGCTGTTCCTGCCACAGCGTCACCTACTTCCAAGGTGCATGGAGAAAAACAAGGGTCCAAAGAACACTTGGAGTATAAAGAACAGCTTTGATCAACAGGTTTTGGCCTGTGGTCATTGTCAGAGAATGATGAAGACTAGTCCAGCACAATACCAAGAAAGCACAGGTTAATAAAACAAAAAGAAAAGAAAACTACAGAAACTAAAACGGGTACTAGCTCTCCTCTGTCCTGACTGGGCCATCTAGTAATAAGCAGCACAGGGGAGATACTTTAAAAACAAAACCAAACCATCTATGAACGATGTAGATGTCTATCAGACTGCTCAAATAAATAAATCAGTATGTAAACAGATAAAAAGCGTGTTACTGTGTGTAACTTCAGTTTTTATAAATACTTGTGTGCCCTTCTATGTATTAAGGCATGCAAACTGTCAAACCCCAGCATTTTAGTAACCACACTACAGAACATGGAAACACTAAGGCTGATGAAGTTTGACATTTTTTAATCCAAAAAGCGGTCCAGCATCCTTTGGATGTTTTGAAAGGCATCTCTGCCGAGGTAGTCCACCTGTCCCATCTCCCACAGCCTGCGGTGATCCAGCGGCTCAGTGTCTGCAGGTGTCTGCCACGACAAAGTGGGAAATAAACATCACATAATTATTCCATATAGATGCATTTAACAGAAGTCTCGTTTTGAAATCTGGCCGGATTTGAATTCTTACACAAAGACAACACAGTGTAAACACAAAGAGTCAGTGTGAATCGTCTGTGAAGAGGAAGAGGAGTATCACAGTAGCTAAAAAGAACAAAACCACCGCTCCATGAATCATGTTCTGGCAACACAAGTGAAGCTTTCACAAGCTGTCTGCTACTCTGTGCCACACATTTAAGTGAACACTGACAGTCAAAGGACGTTTCAACCAGTGCAGTAGCTCTACTTCATTCTGAACAGATTCAACTGGTACAATAAACATCGATCTGAAATATTGTAAGTAAACCAAATCAAAATGATAACTGCCACCAGCATGTGCTCTGTGCGGTTTTGAGCAACCAGTGTTGCCTTGAAAGAATGTGCCCTGCATAGCGCTGGCTCAGACACACCTCACTGAAACCTTTAAGTTGCTGTGAGCCTGGAGAACGTGCTAATACTTCCACACTACGTCTGAGGGGCCGTCACAACTAGTCTAAGGAATGACATAATTACGGTTTCATTTGCGATTCTGTTGACAAGCAAAATCTGCAGATTATTACAACATAAATTGTTTTACAGAACATAAATTTGGCAGCTGTAAATTCATACTTCTATGGTTTAAAGGACTACATACGGGATCAGCAGCCGTGTCTGCAGGAACGTCACTGCTTTCAGAGCCTTCTGCCCCCAAAGGTGGATCCTCAGTTTCTGACTCCTCAGACGATCTCGACTCCTCCTCCAACTGTGTGCCATCTGTGTGGGAACACTGCAGACGCAGGAATCATTTTACTAAACAGCAAACGTGATTGCATGTGCCGTACGCTGTTGTAAAAGCTTCTACATCACCTGATCGTGGGGATAACTCTGCTGATGCATGTTCATAGCTGTGATCATACTGGAGGGAATGTGGTTGTTCAAACTAATCGTACAAGCTTGTATAAACACAGTGCATCAAGTTGTAATGAATTAAACAAATGACCAAAGACAACGAGAAGCTCGGAGGCCTGTGGCAGACAGCAGGCTGTATCCCTGTCTTGTTGTGTTTTTTCTTCCTGGAGTCAAATGAAGTCAGGCTGAAATACTCACAACTACTACAATCATTACTATGATATATGAAAAACACAACTAGCTAATAAGGTTATTCATTAAGCTAATTAATGTACTGATAAGAGATTATATGGAATGAGTACTTAGAGGAAAAGTCTGACTTGTGTTTAAAGTAGTTAATCCCCCTACTCTGACTCATGAGATGCACAGCTATGACAATTATATTTAGTAATAAACAAAAGCAAAAAATGATGCTTCAACAAAACACAGAAACTGTCCAAGAGCTTAACATACAGATCAGCATGTCAGTCTCAGCTTACCACAGCTGGTTCAGACTGTGAATAAAGGTACTCTGGTGGAGGAGGAGGAGGAGGAGGAGGAGGGAAATGTGCAAGCAGTGAATTCGAGGTGTCCAAGTTTTCTGTAAACGGCATCTTGGCTTCTCTTTCTTGGATCTGCACAAAGACAAAAAAAAGGAGGAGGATAGTAAATGTTGGGCTGACAACCAAGACCAGCGCTGCACAGCCATCTGACACGTCTAGCTGCCACGTTCATGTTGCAGCCAAACTCTGCAGCAACTTATGTGACAGATTGACAAATCTTCAGCTACAGAGGGAGAAGTCAGCAGTGAAAACTGGTGCTGGAGCGGCTGCAGAGAAAACGTGCAGAGCATCTGCCAAACGTGGCAAAGCAACACTCTTCACAATGAAACAAAATCCAGCAAACTGGTGACAATGTATCCTTACATGAGTCCAACAAAGCATCAGATTTAAACCAGACAGTGTGAGTAAGCCAGTCTGGTGCCTTCACTACAACATCATGACAGTGATACTGGTTTACTAACAAGGACACCACCTGTGAGCTGCTGTACTGCACAGGCACATGATGGTAAAGCAGAGACATCTCGGGGGTTTCACTATCAGACTGATGGCTCATCCCATGTGAACGTTTGCATAGCTCAGTTGTAACTCATGCTGGTAACGTCTGCTGCTGTTTAAAGCCAGTCTTTAGCTTCAGATGTCATTTTTGTCTTTGTCCCACTCAGATCCCTTCCTCTGACTCCTGGTGTGTGACTTTGGACCTCCACCCACCAGTGAGTCCCACACCTGTTCCGTTTCCCCCGATTAAACCTTTACTGTCCTACCCGCCCTCATGCACATTCCTACCTGTTGTGGTTTCTTCTGCTCTTGCTTGGGCTGGACAACTGGAGCAGATGACACCGTGTGAATAAGGTATTCCTTCCACCACAGAGACACAAACTGCTCCATGTTGTGCGAGTAGCTGCTGTTTCCCTGCGAGTTCCAGGGTTTGTCTGCTCCAAGGAAGTGGATGATCTTTGCATTGTGGCCAAACCTGCAAGAACAAAACTGTAACTCCAACATGTCCAACTGTGGAAACCAGTAACACAGAGGAGACTGAAACCCACACGGTTCAGAGTATTTCCCAATTTATCAATTCCTCAAACCTATATTTATGTTCCAGAAGGTTCATTGGAGCGTCATCAGCTGTCACCGTTTGTTTTCTGTCAGTTTATTCTCGTTTCATAAGAACTCTATCAGTTGTGTTCAGACTGTAAGATTACATTCACAGTCAACGCAGAGATGCACAGTTAGCTCAAATTAAAAACGAACAACAGAAAACGTGCAGGGCTTAAAAACCCTCCTGATCCTAATATTAAGGTACACTACAATACTACAGATGTTATACTAAAAGCACACTGAAGCCAGATAACTGCAGCATCCAATCAACGGTCGCCTTCATAGACCAGCTGAAAAGTGTCACACTAACACAGAGATGAAAAAGAAGCAAAGCGTTGTCGAAAACACCAGGACACATTCACACCAACAGGGTTATGGACTGGTGGCCTTCTGCTACAGCACTTTTCTACTTTACCCGACTGCCTCATTCACACCAGCACGTTTCTATGTATAAGTGCTTTCTAGCCAGCATTTTTCATACAGAGCTTTTCATGCCACATTCAAAACTGCAGCATTAAGACTGATCATGTACAGCAGCAGTTGGACATGTATATATCATATATATCATGGAGCATTCAGGAGTCTGGCAGTTCTGTACCGAGCACAAGGGTGAAGGGTCAGTGAGGGCGTGTGGAGTCAACTTTAACGGCTCTGCTTCGACGGCATTGTGCAAACACATCCTGCACAGATGGAAGAGGACAGCTAAAGCGACAAGACGAGCATAGAAAGTCCACCTCTGAAGAAAAGTAGATTTTGGAGTCCAGATTAAAGAGATTTCTCAGAGTGATGTCAGCGACTGATCTGTTATCCAAGTTTTATTTCAGTGCCGACTGCACGTCTAGCAAATATGTTTTCACCTCAGTGATGCAGGCAGCAGATGATGCTCCTGTGACAATAAATACAAAACTGTTTGATTTATGCCCAAAACAATGACATGCATTATAGGACTAGAACTAGCCTTTACATGTGGAGATATTTAACTGAGGGTTTTAAGTGGAAAAGAACCACAGGCAGCGCAGACACACTCACTGTTGGAAAGCAGGAAGGTAGCTGTAGACCGAGCTGGCACTGAGGTTGTAAACAAACGGCAGGTGTTTACTGAGGTCTTCCACTGACCAGCTACTGAAGAAAGAGTTCAACAGTCCTTGGTCTCCTCCTGTCAGCACACAAGAACAAAGTCCACAATAAAACAAATTCAATGTATGGTTTTTATCTTTTGTTCCCCTTTTTTTGTGTGACTGTGTAACAATTACCCAGGTTTGAACAATAAATCAGCACAACATTTACAAGGACTGCGGCCATTATTTTAGTAATCGAGTACCCTATTGATCCTTCCATGCATTAATTGAGTATAGGCCGCAGTTGATAAACGAAGCATCAAAGCAAAGAATTTGTCCTCAGATCAGCTCAACGGCTGCAACGATTCATCGAGTAATTCAAGGAATTTGATTTTTTTTAAAAATCCTTGAAACAAAGTCCTGATATAAAGAGCTGAAAACAGGCCAAAATCTCAATATTCTTTTATTTTATTCTTCCTAAAGTTTGGTAGGTGTGCAGGTGCTAAAGGATCCTGCACATTAAAAACATGATGTGATGTCAGTGCATTTGATGCAAAGCTGTCCAAGAGTTCATTGTGAAAGGGTTAACTGTGAGATCCACACCCACCAGAGGCTGCCTCTGTGTGTGTGTTCCTGTCTAGCTATCTTTGTGAGGACCGACATCTGCATTCTACTATACTTGTGAGGACACACTCACCGGTCCTCACAAGTTTGAAGGCATTTTTGAGGCTCAAACTGTGGTTTTAGTGTCAGGGTTGCAATTAGGTTATGGTTCGGTTTAGGGTCAGGGTTAGGCATTCATTTTTAATGGTTAGGTAAGGGGCTAGGGAAAGCATTATGTCAATGGATTTCCTGACTAAGATAGCTGAAGTCCTGGTGTCCTGGTGAGGCTAGGTTGACATAATATAATGCATTTCTGAATCAGACCAGTCACCGCTCTCTCCCTGATCAGAACAAAACCAAAAGCTGACTGAATATTTTTGTTGGGAATAAAACATCATTGACTTGCTTTCTATGAGCACATGACTCCAATTAGTTGAGCCATTGGAATTCAAAGCACTGTAGCTCATTGCTTGTGCCTGAGCCCGTGTAGTCGTGTGTTACCATCAAAGCTGCCGTGGCGACTGGCGTGATCCAGCAGTCTGGTGTGAGTGTGCAGGGACGGTCTGAAGACAAACACTCCTGAGTTGAAACAGTCGGGCCAGCCGGGATCAGGAGCGGCTGACAGCTCGTCCCTGTCAAACAGCTCGTCCACGTTACACAGCACCTGAGGAGACCAGAGGTCATCTAAACTCACATCTACACGGACTTCATCCACCTTAAGTTGACATCTGGAGGTATACATGTTACCTTTGTGTAGAAACAGGCGTCATAAGGGATAAAAAAAAAACAAGTTTTAGTCTTCAAACGTGCTTTTTTACAGAAAGCACGTTGACCAGTGAACCAGCCTGCCATTGATCCGTTTCAGTGTGACACTCTAGTTGTTCCTCTGAACACAGATCACAGCTGCTGTGAAGTTTGAAGGCGAGCAGCTTATATGTGTGTTTCTGCTGTTTGTTCCTGGTCAGAAGCACAAACCCTCTCAGTTCACCTGGAGTAATATATCGTCACAGAGACTTTCTACAATTACATCCCACTCTAATAAAAAACGAGCTGACTGTTCTAACTTGGCTACAGCACAGAAAAGAAAACTAGGGTTGTTCTTGTTTTTATTGTTATTGTAACAAACTCTTTTTCTATGCTGAATGAAGATATCTGTGAGACACCATTTCCTCTGTGCTGAGAAGGCGACTGGCTCAAATGTGCCTTCACTACAAGGACACAAGGGAAACTGCTACCCACTGCTCCCACCCCGAGTGTTTGTGATCCTCCCCTCAACCAGCTTCAGACATATCGGCATGTGTCAGTGAACTCACCAGAGTGTCGGCATCCAGAAAGACGCATTTGCTATACTGTGTCAGAGTCCAGCAGTGGATCTTAGTGAAAGTGATACCGAGCTCAGGACGTCCCAGCAAGGACAAGTGGTGGTAATCTTCACTGTCCATCACATCCACCGCAATCACTTCATCAAACACATCTTCAAGGGCGAGTCTGTCGGGCGATTCATAAACGTCAGTATATGATTTTTAGCAGATGCACCTTCAGAGCCTGTTTGTTCAAGAGTAATGGGACACCTAACATTTTCACACACAGCTCCCATTTCACCTTATGTTTGTTGCTCCCATCCCAATAACATGTGGCCAGTATGCCAACTTAACGTTACTTCATGTAGTGACAAATGTGGGTCACTTACTTCACTTTGAATTTTTCCTATATGAAAAGAGACCACAACTACAAGTTTCATCACCTGGTTCAGACCAGAGTAAAAGTATTTACAGCACTTCACTTGTTCTGCATTTTTCATGTTACAGTCCCAATTCCAAATTCTACACACACAATAACCCATAATGGAAAAGTCTGGATGCAATTTTTTTTATTTTTTTTAAAAGCTCTTACAACAGTTTGATAAGGATCGAATGGCTCGTAGAAACGGGCAAGATACGCCCATACTTCCAAAACACCTTCCACAGAACACTGAGGGCCACGGTGGAAAGCCTTCTCCAAGCCCACAAAACATGTGCACTGGTTGGGTAAACTCCCATGCACCCTTGAATATCTTTGAGAGGGTAAAGAGCTGGTCCAGTTTTGCGCAACTGGGACGATCCTCCTGTAACAGAGGTTTGACTAATGCAGGCGTGTCCAACTCCAGGCCTCGAGGGCCGGTGTCCTGCAGGTTTTAGATGTGTCCTTGATGCATCACAGCTGATTTAAATGGCTAAATGACCTCCTCAACATGTCTTGAAGTTCTCCAGATGCCTGGTAATGAACTAATCATGTGATCCAGCTGTGTTGACCCAGGGTGAGATCTAAAACCTGCAGGACACCGGTCCTCGAGGCCTGGAGTTGCCCACCCCTGGACTAATGGATGGTGGGCTCTCCTCTCCAGCACCCTGGCATAGACCTTCCCAGGGAGGCTGAGGAGTGTGATCCCCCTATATTTGTAACACACCCTCCGGTTCCCCTTCTTAAAAATGGGAACCACCACCCAGGTGTGCCAGTCCAGAGGTACCACCCCTGACCATGCAACATTTCAAAGCGTGTCAACCAAGACAGCCCTACAACATCCAGAGCCTTCAGGAACTCAGAGCGAACCTCATCCACCCCCGGGGCCCCGCAACCAAGGAGTTGTTTAACTGCCTCAGTGACCTCGGCCTCAGTGATGGAGGAGTCATCCACCCGTCCCCAGACTCTGCGTCCTCTACAGAAGACGTGTCAGTGGGTTTAAGGAGGTCTTGGCTCCAAAGTCCCACAGGCTAACCAAGCCTGATAGAACTGCTTCTTCAGCCTGATGTCTCCCTTTATCTCTTGTGTCCTGACCTGAATGTACATTTCTGTAGGACTCAGACAATGACTGTGCACCAACATCTCCCACCTTTGTTTGATCAGTTCCACAAAGCAGAATGAGAGAATCTGCCCAAAATTAGATGCATCAAGCTTGTAGAGTCATACTCGAAAAGAACTGAGGCTGTAATTGCTGCAAAAGCTGCATTAAACACAGGCTGTGAATACTTATATACATATGAAGATTTTTAGACTTAATATATTTTGGAATAGGGCTGTAACAGGACAAAATGTGGAACAAAAGCTTTCTGGAGCCACTGCATAAAGATGAAAACACCCTTGGAAAAGATATTTAACAATGGCTGAGCATACTTCGAGCACACATGAGGGAGTGAGACTAAATTCTTTTAACGTTTGACACATGGTTCATCATTCCCCCACCTTGACTGCTCAGAGACATTTGGTGTGATCATGGCAACTATGTGGCGAGTTGTTCCATGCCGCCGCAGACTTCTGGCCACTACAGCGGCTCCCATGCAGTAAGAGTCTGTGGTGGCAAGGGTCACAAAAGCCTCAGCACCTGGAGAAAGAACAAAAAGACCCCATCAGGCTGACTGACCCGGCTGACGTGTGTTTGTCATTTAATCTTTGTTGGATTTGGTGTTTCTTTGTTGCAGCAGGAAAAGTAACCACTGCATGGTTTGACTTTTACATGAGGTCCTGATACCCTGTTCATACTGAGAGTTAAGTAACAGTGACCCTTTCACAGGTGATATCAGTAAAGGCATGTTAGAAAGAAAAAAAAAGACTACTTGTAGTATTTAAAACATTTCAGGATCTTTGTGGAACAAGGAGCTATTTTAAATAAAGAATACAATTCAGAAAGCCACTATGGACAGATCCAGGCCTGACCTGGTCCAAATCCACGCACTCCACCCCAGACACTGTTTAATGACCTATTAAGGAGCCTATGATAGGTTAACATCAAGCAGATGCACTTCTAGTAAGACCAACTGAGACTAATTTTGGTCATTCTCAGTGGAAAATATGTTGAGGTTCAGACTCTGAAACTGTACCTTTCAAAATGTTATTTGACAGAATTTAAAAAACCAGTCGTAACATGTTCAGAACACTGCACTACGTTTTACACGTGCCTGTTGTCAAGCTTACCTCACGAGAACCAGTAAATGCCCCAGCTGTGCATCATATTGTTGCAGTGAGTAACTGTTTAAATTGTTTTCACTGTGATCTGCAATAAACTAAAGTGATTTCCATTATGCTTTAAAGTTTTAGCACGTCTGATGTGTAGAAATCTGCAGCAGCACTGAGAGCACACTCAGCCATCAAATAATAAACTGGAGCTAAAATGTTTTATCTTACCGCTCTGTGCGCTAAAATCACCACGACACCATTCAATCTGTGCATTTTGCCCCAGCGTTGCATTTTACTGGCACATTTTCTACCTTCCTTACCAGTTTTTAATCCCCATTTGAGAATGTCTCTGGAGTAGTTGGAACACATCAAACCTGATCATTAGATCGCCACTGCTACAGATGAGCTAAATTCACTTTGTAGTGCAGGGCGCAGGGGCCTGTACTGTAAAGTAGGTTCAGCACTAGGGCTGGGCCATATTATACCGTTCACGGTAATACCGGTATAATGTTAGGCAACGATAGGAAAATGAAATATCGCGATAGAATATGAGTAAAACGCGCATGCGCAGTGCCTTTGTTTTCATACGCACATGGCCAATTGTTGAGTGAAACAAATGAACCAGAATTGGTTTGTAAAAATGGTGCAACTTCAGTGATGTGGAACTGGTTTGGTGTTTGTCCGTCAGATACACGACAAAGCACATTTTTTTGCAGAACATGCAAGCGGCCGTTGTATTTGTCGGACTAAGATGCTCTTAAATCTGGGAGTAATCTGGGTCCTAAACTCCGTATCTTCAGGTCAAACGAACACTGCAGCATCACTGAGAGTTAAAAACTGTCTAAATTCTTTAATCTTTTTTTTTTTTTTTTTTTTTTTTTTTTTATTAAATGACATCAGAAACAGCAGTATGCGACATTACGTGATGGCAGAGCTTCAGTTCATCCTTTGTCATTTTTTTTTTTTTTTTTTTTTAATAAATAGGACAGGGGGAATGAATGAGAGAAAGAGGGGGAGAGAAAGAAAGAAAACCAAAGGGGAGAAGAGACGGTGAGAAGGGGGGGAGAAAAAAAAACAACTCCTGGGTCACCTGTATGGAGAAAAAAAAAAACAAACAAACAAAAACAAACAAACAGAGGAGACAGCAAACAACAAAGAGCAACATAATAATAGAGAAAACAAAGCACCATCACAATAAACTAGCTAGTCATAGATATCAATAGTTACTAAATAATAAACGATATTGTGCAGCACGCAAGATAGACAGCGCACAGTGTGCTTTGAGGCAGCAGCCAAGAAAGCTTTAGTCCGCGTCTGTGAATACCCATGTGTACACCTGTGTGCATACCTGTGTGGATCAGCATGCTTGCATTCCAAAGGTTTCTCCATGTAACGATCTGCTAGGGAGTGTGGGGAGCCACAGCCCCGTCCTCCAGGGTGTGAAGCAGGTATGGAGGAGATCAAAACTCCAGACATCCAGAGGCCCCCAGAACACAAGAGACCAAGGAAGACCAACAGAGGGGCAGCCGCGCCACTGTCCAGTAAGAGCTGAGGAGAGTCCCAGATGAGGGCTCGCCCAGCAGCCGCGGAGCAGAAGCCAGGGGGAGTTGCAGTGACGCGCCCGTGAGCTCCGCCGGCCCCCAGCTGTGCCTGAGTGACCGAGCCCCAGGCCGAGAGGCCGGGGGCACCCCACCTCCAAAGGGGGCCCGAGCGAGCCCCAGGCCCCAGGCCCCGACAAGCGGCCGCCAAGGAGTGAGCCGGTGTGTACCCGGACGCCCACCCCCAGACACAAGGAACCACCAGCACACCGACACCTGAGGGAGTCCGCCACCGGCAGGGGAAGTGGTGGTGGGTGGAGATAGGCCTCCAAATTCTTTCATCTTTAATAAAACGATCAGCATTGCTGCTTTACTAGGTGTAACTATGAAGTTTAACTTCCAGGCATCCATGAAAACAAAATTTATTACATTTAACGGAATAAATTAGCAGGAAGCTAGCGGAAGTTAGCTCGCTAGTTTCGCTAGTTACCCAAGCATGATATTGCATGTTCTGACTCAGAGATTTCTGAATAAATTCAAACGTACAGCTCTGCTATCACTTCCAACATAAATGAAGACAGGAAACTAAACAGCAGTGACGTTTGTAGGGTTACTGAAGTTGGGCTAGCTGGTATATAATGATGTGCTACGTGATCGCTAGCCACACAGCTATGTTAGCATACATAAACAGTGAAGCTGGAGGACGAACACTAACACTTTTCCACTTATAAAAGTTAACGTGAAGGTTCCTCATGGTTAGAGACAAATGCAATCGCATGGCAGGATGCTGTAAACGGACCAAACTTCAGTCAGGAGAACAACTGAGATAATCCATCCACAATACGAGGTTAGTCATTAATATACTGCAACAACATGGGAATAGAGCAGCTGCCAGAGAATTCAACATTAATGAATCAATGGTACAGAAGTGGAGGAAGCAAGAAGAATGAGTTTAATAAAGTTTGATTTATCTGACTGCTTTGTTTCGCTTAATGTGCCTTATAATCCCGTGCACCTTATGGTCCGAAAAATACGTACTGCACACTGCAGTTTAATGTTGCAAAGCACCTCTTTTTAACTTCAGTGGATATTATACATGGTTATGCTCAGGATATGTCAGCCCATTTCTACTGGAAATGCCTTTTGGTTAAACTTTCAGCAAGGAATTTGCATTTGCACTGTTACATTTTTATAAAGCTTTAATGTACATAAAAAACAGCTTCTTGTTTAAGTGAAAATAAATGGAAGGTTGTCTTTTTGCGCTAGTAATGTTGTGGAGTTGTATTTTGTCTCGCATCAATTATATCGTCAGTTATATCGTTATCGCAAATTTTCAAATATATATCGTGATAAATATTTTTGGCCATATCGCCCTGCTCTATTCAGCACACACATGACCTCTCAAGGTGGGTAGCAATACACGAGCGGTAGCAGAAGGACCTCTGAAACATGGGAAGCTCTACTGGCAGGAAGATAAATATAAGCGTAATATGAGAATAAATGCAAATATGAAAGGGTAGCTGCATAATACAGACTGAAGTAACCTAAGCTGATGTGAGTTCGTAGTATTAAAAGAAGGGTAGGGTTACTTTAAGCACTTTGGTCAACTGCTACATCAATGCCTGTGGAGCGGTCAGCTCTGCAAAGGTACCATCAAGGCTGAAAGTACATACAGGTTTTAGAGCAGGGGTCTCAAACTCGTGGCCCGGGGGCCACTTGCGGCCCACGTCACCCCTGCTTGCAGACCAAATCTTGAAGTGAAGAATTATAATGCAGTTTGGCCTTTGAAGTGACTTTTTTTGTTAAAATAAGTGATTTAATATGAAGGCAATATGAGCAGAGAGCACAAACGTGCTGAGGGATTGGCTGTGTTAGTTCACAAACTAGTGTGTAGCACAAGTGCTGCTGTGTGTGTGCACAGACACAGAGGACCAGTGTGTTTGTTTGGTAGTTCACTGAAAGGATTTGTTTAGTGACGAGGGAGGAGCAAACAGGCTTGTTTTACAATATTTGACATAAAAAACCATTTTAGGAAATATTTGTGGCTGTTTTCTTGTCTGTTGGGGTTTTTGTACTACTCGAACACTAAAGTGGCTCGTTGAAGTTTGACACCCCTGATTTAGAGTCACACACAGAGTCCAGACGTGCGTTTTATTTCTGCTGTGTTTTTAGAAAGGCATGCCTTTGTCTGGGTTGTGAGCTGACCAGCCTGAAATCTTCCATCTAAAAACATTTGAATCATCAAGAAACAACATCAACAACAAACTGGTTTCAGTTTTCAACTTACTTTGTTTAAAAAAAAAAAATACAGTAGATTTCTACGTTTAAACAGCTGAGATGCTCGGATCAAATATGGCTTAAAGATATCTGCATTCTGTTTTGATTTACATTTACACAAAGTCCCAACGTTGGTAACTGTGGTTGTACATTTAGGATGGGATGTATTTTAGGTGGGATTTGTGTTGTTGTTGTTTGTGTGTGTCAGTAAAAGCCACAGTCACTGCAGTGGTCAGTAGTTTCACAGAGTGGCTGCATCGCCACCATCGCAATGACAGGACACAGGATTGAAGTTCTGCTGTGAATGTAAGTATGTTTTAATAACCTTTATTGTCCTCTGCTGGGAACACTCTTAATAATAAATAACAGCCCACTGCTGGTTCTTCTGATGCGTGGATATATGGTTACACTCCTATTGTGGTTGTAAATCACGCGTCGCGTAGAGCACAGAGTGTGCATGGCTTAATATCCCGAGCATGCAGTCAGATCACAAGCATGTTAACCTTTTGTCTGCACGAGTGTCACATTTCACGCGGCTCACTGTGTGGGAGAGTGTTGGGGAACAGCAAGCAAAGACTTTCATGTCAGAATTTGACTGCGCCGTTTTTCATTGAGTGGAAGCTTGAGCGAGTTACGACTCAGTTAAAGAAGTTAACCTGTGGAGGGGTTAACTGAGTTATTACTGTGGGCTCTACCTTACATATAAAGCGCCTGAGGCGACTGCTGTTGTGGTTTGACGCTGTATAAATAAAACTGAATTGAAAGAAGGTCACGCACACTGACGCGTACTTGATTCCTCAGTAGAACAAAGTATAACGTGATAAAGACTAGATCGTGTGTGTTAAAGGAAAAGCCACCTACCTGACATTCCTGTTGACAGAAGCTTTGTGCACACCTGACAGCTGCACGTATCCACAGAGGAGATCAGGAATATGCGGCACGTGTGTGAAAGTCTCCCTGCAGCGCTGTGGGAGCAGCCAATCACAAAGGCCCGGGACAGACCCGGGTTAGCAGCGGCTAAATCCCGAGAAACGCCACCAACCCACAGCTCATTCAGTTGTTCCTCCCGACCGTGTGACACTGGGCTGCTGGTGCTGCTGGTTACCTGTTTGCTCAACTGGTCATTCAACCAGCACAAAGGAAGCTTTGACTGATGTTGTGCAACACACTCTGCCCTAATGCCCCTTTGTTGACCGCCCTCCTTTCACTCCACATGCGTGACAGGTTACCAATCAGCCGGTGTTTCGGCTCGACACCCCCACTCTGTGGTGGGCTGTTACTGTTTGTAACGAACTGCTGCAAAAAGGAAGCTGCCATCACAACACGAACACCTTCAGTAAAAACAGCGTTACTCGTCATTTATTCAGATATAAGTTTACTTAGTGTGAGTAATAACTGTGCATATAAGCAGTGAAGTGCTGAAGTGTAGCTTCTATCAAAGAGAACAAATCCTGCATTTCATGACCTATGTGGCTGTGGCAGCTTTTCCCAGCAGCTCTGCAGCACCGCACTACACCATCTCCCGGAGGAAGCCGGGATTAATAAAGTCTCATCTAATCTATTTTATGGACTTTTGTATCATTGATAGCATTAATGTATCTTTTAAAAGACACCAGCATTCACATGTCTGCCTCACAGGTGTGACAACCAACCCCAGGACCAGTGCGATGCCCACCTGACCCAGTGACAGCTGCCTATTATGAGCTCAGTAAGGATGCAACGCTGTGTGTCACCGTTACATTCTTTGTTCATAACAGCGCATTTGTTGAAACCGTATGTGTATACGTGGTGCAACATCGACAAAGCCAGTCCATGCTAGAGGTTAGAAATTAAAATGGAAATGAGTGGTTTCCATCAAATTTTTTTTTTAAATTTTTTTTAATTCAGATCAAACTGAGGTTATTGTACTCGGCCCTGAAAATTAGAAATATGGTATCTAACCAGATTCTTACTCTGGATGGCATTACCTTGGCCTCCAGTAACACTGTGAGGAACCTTGGAGTCATTTTTGACCAGGACATGTCCTTCAACGCACATATTAAACAAATATGTAAGACTGCTTTCTTCCATTTGTGCAACATCTCTAAAATTAGAAATATCCTGTCTCAGAGTGACGCTGAAAAACTAGTTCATGCATTTATTACTTCCAGGCTGGACGACTGTAATTCATTATTATCAGGATGTCCTAAAAACTCCCTGAAAAGCCTTCAGCTGATCCAAAATGCTGCAGCAAGAGTCCTGACAGGGACTAGAAAGAGAGAGCAGATTTCTCCTGTTTTGGCTTCCTGTTAAATCCAGAATTCAAAATCCTGCTCCTCACATACAAGGTCTTAAATAATCAGGCCCCATCTTATCTTAATGACCTTGTAGTACCATATCACCCTATTAGAGCACTTCGCTCTCGCTCTGCAGGCCTACTTGTTGTTCCTAGAGTATTTAAAAGTAGAATGGGAGGCAGAGCCTTCAGTTTTCAGGCCCCTCTTCTGTGGAACCAGCTTCCAGTTTGGATTCAGGAGACAGACACTATCTCTACTTTCAAGATTAGGCTTAAAACTTTCCTTTTTGCTAAAGCATATAGTTAGGGCTGGACCAGGTGACCCTGAATCCTCCCTTAGTTATGCTGCAATAGACGTAGGCTGCCGGGGATTCCCATGATGCACTGGGTGTTTCTGCTTCACTCACTATGTGTTAACAGACCTCTCTGCACTGAATCGTTCGTTTTTATTGGTTCTGCTGGAGGTTTCTTCCCGTTGAAAGGGAGTCTTCTTTCCCACTGTCACCAAAGCGCTCAAAGGGGATCTTCTCTGTATTATTCTACAGTCTTTACCTGAATATGTGTATTCTCATAAAAACTAGAGAAGCATTTAGATATGAAACAAGTCCAACAGCTTTGCCTCTGCACTCCAACAAAAGGATTTAAAATGAAACTTTAAAAATGGGAGCAGACTTTCAGCTGCTCAGGTATGTTTGTGTGGACTTGGTGCAGGTTAAACACAACGAGGGTTCCAAAATACAAACACAGATCATTTTATTTGAAACATTTGCGTACATTAAATCCACTCACAAATGCAACATTTCTCTCATCTAAGTCAGATGTAAACAACTAAATAACCTGGATCACATCTCGGTTTGTAAACCCAGACAAATTAGTAACAGACTAACAAAGCTCAAAGCATCTGTACACACCATCTCCCCAACTATCTACATCTCACAGGGATGCAAACGATTTCAATATTTTAGCATCGTAAGAGTTCACATCACATTACAGTCTGAGTGTCTGCTGATGAGCCCTCAGACTGTAATGTGAAGCTCATTTATGACCAATGTCCCAGTGTGAGTCTGTGGGACAGCACACAACGTGTCACACTAAAACAAACACCTGATGAGCATAAATGCGTCGGCCCAGTGATCTGTGGCTGCTGCTCGTCTGAGGCACTGATTCATTAAACCTTTCACAAACTCTGTTTGCTAAACATGAGCCGACACATCTACACATCCCATGTAAATATACCAAACACCTGAATTCAGCTGCTAAATGTTCAAACTTTTAGTGACATCGTATTTAGGACACTGTGTACAATTACTTCTCATCTTTTGGCATAAATCATATGTTGATAAAGAGCTGCTGATTCTGAGCGTTCGTCTACAAAGCAGCAGACTGACTGTTAGGACGATAAAAAGGTTTTGGACAGACGGAGGAAAATTAATATTTATAATCAAGCTCAAGATAGCAAGAAACTCATGTTTGTGCTGTATGTTACATTAAGAGCTAAGATCCTAAGAGTTGTCTACAACGAGTGCATTAATAAATGTGCATTTTTTGTGTTTCATGAACAGATGTGCTCACACTGCAACCAACACTACAAACATCTCCATGCGCTCAGCACGGGCTGTGCTTCCTGCTGTCGTTTACCAGCACTGGAAATGTGCGTGGCCTCCTGAAGAATGTGCACTTCCACTAAACGCTTAAATCATGCGACAAACACGGTTCTTTTACTCTAAAATACACATTTCCAGTTGATTTTCATCGGTCACACACTGAGCCTAAACTACAGCTCAACTAATGAAAGCTCTCCTTCAGTTTAAAACACCTCCAGGGACCAGGCTGGCTAGCATGAACACACCCTGCTCCAAACGGGGTCACTGCTGTGTTTGGATGTGTTCATTTTGCGCTGCACAGCAGCTTTTATATCCCTGTTCTCTGCAGAGGTGTGCTGCAGAGGTGTGCTGCAGAGGTGTGCGCTACGCTGAATAGTATATGTGTGTATTTAGTAAACTGTAGTAACGAGTGTTTTAAACGGGAACCCTACAGAGGAGACTTACTGTTAAAAATATCACCTGCATGAATATTTGCACCTACTTTAAAATAAATGTGTGTATTACCACAGAGCCAGAGTATTCATCTTTACAGTAGTTACACACAGCCAACAAACACAAATACAAATGCTCCTTTCAAATCACCTTTGGGATATTCTGATTTTTGTTAAAGACACAAAGAGAAGATGCACACTCAGATGTTTGCAAATGGACAGTCTTCAAGCTGGGCTACAGTTGTAGTTCTGGTTTAAGTCGATCAGGCTGCAGAAGCACCACCAACAAGGCTGACTGGAAGTTGAATGAAGTCCTCTGGCAGCAGGAGAGACGCGTCTAGTTTGTCTGGAGCAGGTTGCTGAGGACTGAAGTTAGAAAGAGCACAGCGATAAGCCAGTGCCTGTTCACAGTCACCACCAGGGGGCAGGCTGGGCTTAGTTAGTCTTTTTGGTGCTGTTCTGGATGTTGCCAATATCACGCTCCATCGGACCTTCATTTAAGACTTGTTACATATAATCACTGATTATTTCCCCCTAATCATTCTTTAGTATTCGAGCTGCGAACAGCAGACTGATCTGCATTCAAACATTTTAAATATTCACTTTGTGCACTCTGATGTTTCTCCTTCTAGTTCACACTTAACATGACTTTATCATATCAATGAACATCTGTTAGCAAACAAGCTCACTCACTGCTCAGGTCACACATTTCAGAGCGTAACAGTTTTAAAACTGTTGACTGACCAGTCATCGCTCCTGTGTCACAGCTGAGAAAACAAGTAACACTGAAGCTACAGTAACTAGAATCTACTCTGTAATGAGGGGCTGAGAGGTACTCTTTACTGTTACTCTGTGACAGCGTGACAGTCAAGCACCCCAGGCAGGTCTCAGTGATCACCTTCATCTTCTGATGAAAGGTGATGGGTGTGGTCTCCTCGTCATGAAGGTTCACTGAACGGTTTGATGAGGTGATGCTGTTGTCCTCAGCAGATCTCAGTCCAGTGAACACTCCTTATTAAGACACCTTTTGTACCTTCGTAGTAAGCAGCCAGCTTGAGCCTGATTCATGGCCGTGTCACAGAGCCCTGACGCTCTGCAGCCTTCTCACAAATAAACTGTGAATTATCACTGATGTAGAAGTAAAGACAGGAAACAAAGAAAACAGTCTTGTTTCTCCAAAAACCTCACATTTTTCATTCTGTTGAAGCCCTTCGCCCCTGGTGGTGGAGAGAATACGATCGTACACTCACGTCTTCAACCCAGGTTACAAAAATCAAGATGTGCAGGCCGTCCGAAACAACACCAAAAGTGGCGCATGCGCGGGCAGCTTTGGGGCGTGTCACGCCACCGTGCGTGGACTGTGAGAACTTACCTTGAGGCTCGGAATGAGTGCCTTGGTGTCCTTTACCACTCTCTGGATCTGCACCTGGATCAGAAACACTTATCAGGATGATGTCAGAGTCCTGTTATCTGTAATCAGCAGTAATACTGAACTCATTATTACAGAAACGAGGGATACCGACCTCCCTGCAGCTTGAAGCACAGTTTCTTCTTCTGATAAGCAAAGTAACTGGACGCTGCTCCCACCAGGGCAACGCCTACGGCACTGATGATTCCTGCAATGGGACCACTCCCTTCGAATGCAGCAGGACAGGAAAAAGGACACATTACTGGAAGGGACCCACTTTAAATGTATTCAAATTCTATTTTTTAATCGGTATGTCAAATGACTTCGTTTATCAAGATCAGAGTAAAATCACTTTAAAGCAGGAGTGTCCAACTCCAGGCCTCGAGGGCCGGTGCCCTGCAGGTTTAGACGTGTCCTTGATCCAGCACAGCTGATTTAAATGGATAAATGACCTCCTCAACATGTCTTGTAGTTCTCCAGAGGCCTGGGAATGAACTAAACCTGTGAATCAGGTGTGTTGACCCAGGGTGAGATCTGAAACCTGCAGGACACCGGCCCTGGAGGCCTGGAGTTGGACACCTCTGCTTTAAGAGTGGCAAATGTTTGCAAATACTTGTAACTTGATACCTGCTCAAGTGAGAAATCGAAACAGCGCTCTGTGTTTGTTTGGCTCACAAACATGATCGTTAGAGTTTAAAATTTTAGGAACAATTCAAAAGGCTTGATCCAGACCCAGTCCATGAGCTGTAATGACCACAGTTCACCACACGATGGCGGTATCTGTGGCGTTAATAACTTTCAATGCCACAGTTACTGGCAGCACTGGGAAAATGTGCAGGAAGGCAAATGAAAAGCAGATACAGCAGCTCCAGTGCAGGGCGTGGCAGCATGAATAATGAAGCTGTTCTTTGAAGCCACACTGAGTCACTGAGCTTTGTCTCATGATGCTGCCGATCACTAAAACAGGGAGTTGCCTGGATATTAAACAACAAGAAAACAAGGCAGGCTGGCAGCTGTGTGCATGACTTACTGCTGGGAAATGTGGAGAATGTCACTCACTGCTCTCCTGTCTCACACAGGACCCCCGAGGGCTTAGCGTGATGTGTCTGTTATGTTATTATGATACTGGGACATAAGTCGAGGTCATTATAAAATCTAAATCCTACAGCACAACAACTCTTGTGGATTTAGGAATCATATTTCAGATACACTGACCGTTTCAAGCTGCTTTTATGATTTTATTATTATGTGTTACACTTTTCTCAAAATAAAATCCAAATCCCTTAAAGACTCGAAGCAAAAACCAAAAGTCCAGTCATACAAAGAGCAGTTCAGAAGCTGAGCTGTGCCAGAGAGAAGAAGCATCCTCGGATCACACATCAGAAAGTCTACCCCGGGAAGTTTGCAGCTCTACATGTTGGATGTGTCAGCTGAGGCTTTGAATGCGTGCTATCCTAAGAATGCCGACTGTGGAAGAGATAAGCAGGCGTGTCCTGACACAAAGGGATGGCAGTAAAAAACCTGATTTCCAGTAAGCAAACCAGTTGTCATGAACATGGATGAACATGTGATATTTAGCTCCATTCACAGTCACACGTTCTTTAAAAAACTCCCAGTATGAGGTGCTGCTGGTATGTGGTCCCCTCTGACTGTCAAAGTACTACAAAGCACACATTTGTTTGCACAGCAACAAATTACACACAGAAAATGAAGTAACACAAAAAGTATCCCAACGACCACCATCCTGGCACCCAGCAAAACAACATGTCTAACTGCTCATTTTGAGTCCATCAGATATTAAAAAAAATTTTTTGTAAACCGCCGCATGACCCAACAGCTCATTGCACAGCTTGTAACAGATCCATGGCCCGCTCTAACAGAGGTGTTAAGATCTGCTTTAAGTTGGACATCCAAACATAGAATTCCTCGGGCATGTTAGCGTTTAACATCTTCAGGATGTGGCCCCACAGAAAGTCTGGATCTGCAACGACACAATCGTAGCAGGGTTTTAACCAGAGGAACCAGACCGGGGGGCCATTAGCAACTTAAACAAAATGCAGCCCATCAAACAGCCAGCACATAGTCCAGCTCCTACCCACCAAGGTAATGAGCTAGTAGAGCTTTCAAAACAACTAGTAACAGGAAGTCCATAATGATAAAAACTAATGTAGGAAAGCAGAGGCATTCTGTGGTGCTTCCTCCATGACAGGAAACAGGAAATGACCAACAACTCAAGAGCTTCGATTCTGAAGACAAACACTCAGGAAGAAGGGCTGCGCGTCTTCAAGGCCGAATAGATAAATGTTGGTCTCATGTGCTGAAACCTTTTTATAGCGACTGCACAACCAAATGATCCACTGTTATTATTACAGCTCATGATTACATCATCACCACATTTAAACAAATTCCACGTGATCATAAAAACAAGAACACTGTTAGCGCTGGAGACTGAGCATGGTCCTCATATGGAGGACACACTGTGCAGGTCTAGCAAAGCATGGACTGAAGATCAAACGTGGGACTCACCTTGAGGCTGGTCAGCGCCACCTGTGAGAACACGGGATTCACATTAATCAACACTGTTTATTACAGACGTGCTTCATACTGTGACACTGATGTCATGTCATGCTAATGCTAACACGAGGACGAGCGAGCTGCCTTAGTGCAGCTTCGTGCTTCTGGATTCTTGTTTTTCTGTTTACTGCTGCATTCATGTGGTTCAAAGTGCGTCCTGGTTGTTCTTTATAACCACAGATGAACCAAAAGGCACACGAGTCCTGTAAGACTCTCTGCAGAGCTGCTGCTCTGAGGCAAACCTGTGTGTGTGTGGGTACAGTACAACAGGCCCATCGAGTGCTGCATTTCTGCACTCATCCAGGCAAAGCATGGACTGAAGATCAAACGTGGGACTCACCTTGAGGCTGGTCAGCGCCACCTGTGAGAACACGGGATTCACATTAATCAACAGTGTTTATTACAGACGTGCTTCATACTGTGACACTGATGTCATGTCCTACATGATAATGCTAACACGAGGACGATTGTGCTCATTGGCTGATCTTGAGCAAAGTATAAGTATTTTTTGTGGCATGATAACTTAGGACAGCAGTGCACTCCTGCTACTCTTGTTAAATGAAACATGTAGTCAAAATATTTGTAAGGTAAAAACGAGACAAGATGAACCAAAATACTGCATACCCTGAGGACCCATGGCACGACCTGAAAGAGAAGGTTAGACGTCAGTCAGAGAGCTGACCTCAGACTCTCAGCACAGCAAATCAACATGACATCACATACCTCAGTCATGACTTCTCTTTCCTGTCTTTGGTCAAAATACAACTAATTATTCTAATGCTGTCACTAAACCAAGACCAAGGGTGTCCATCTCCAGGCCTCCGGTGTCCTGCAGGTTTTCGATGTGTCCTTGATCCAACACAGCTGATTTAAATGACCTCCTCAACATGTCCTGAAGGTCTCCAGAGGCCTGGGAATGAACTGACCATGTGATTCAGGTGATCTCTAAAACCTGCAGGACACCAGCCCTCGAGGCCTGTGTCCTGTTATCTAGGAATTAAAAAACAAAAAGATCTACACTTGTTTTTCTGTATTTTACTTTTTTCCAATGATAAGAAGAAACAACATTGCAGCAGTTCTGATAAACGATGATATGTTTTGATCTGTCCTTTGGTAAAAATAGCTTCTAACCATTTAAAGGTCAGCAGAACAGCATCAGCAGCTCAGTACTGATCTACACAGGAGCACCTCAGACTGGTCCTAACGTTTGGTCCTTTCTAGTTCTGGTGACCACTTCAAGTCTAAACAAAAACAACAAAGTGAAAATGCTTTTATGTCCCATCCTCAAACCTCCAATAAAATAAAGACCAATAAAAACAGTTCCAAAAGCTCCATCGCAGCTTTTTAACCTTTCACACAGCAGTCACTGCAGCTATTCAAAGGCTGTTTACTTGTACGTCTGTCAGTGTTGATGGTATACTTGCACATAAACCACTGCACTGGACACTGATGTGTCCCTCCAAACCCTATTTGTTATAGTTTATATACATGCTGTTATATTGACATGTTTTTTATCAAAAATATTTGAGCTATTGTATAGATTTTACACAGCTTATATTATTTATTCGTGTGCCTGTTGTCTACCTAAGTGGATGTAAAAAACTCTTTGAAAAGTACACGTTTAAAAAGAAGAAGTTCAAAAATCTTTTTTCAAGCCTAAAGAAGAATAAAAATACTAAAGAAAAACATCCAGAGTGCGGCTGTCATAATTCATGCATGGAAGGGTTAAACAGATGTGCAGTAAACTCATTAAATAACAAATAAGGGGCCAAAATGCATTAACCTCAATGATAAAGACGGCCAAAAGAATCTACTGCAATAAAGCCTAAAAATAAAAAGATAGTTGCTTCTGTGCATATAAACTGTCTCTTTTGTCTTTAAGTAATTTTAGTTCCCTCGAGACAACATCAAGGATAAATAATGAAACAGTGTTGGAGAAGAGCCACAGGGCGTCAACATTACATTATATCAATGTGTTGTTGTCTTCCAGTGACACATGATACCATTATAGCAGCTGGGCAGAGTCAGCGGTAGTGAAGGGCAACAAAACACAACAACAGAGAGGAAGTACTGCACAAACTCCAAAATGTTTCCTAAATACAAACTGGAACCACTGAATTTTCTGACTCACAAATGGGAAACAAACTGCATAACAGCAGTAAAAAACACTTATCAGCTACAGTGCAGATTTAGACCGTGTCATAGTGCCGTCTGTCATTTATATAATCAAAGGTCTACAGCTGCAAACACCAGCAGTATACAGCTGGAAGCACAACGAGTAACATCCTGATGCATTTATCCCAGGGGTGTCCAACTCCTCGCCCTGGGTCAACACACCTGAATCAAATCATTCCCAGGCCTCTGGAGACCTTCAAGACATGTTGAGGAGGTCATTTAGTCATTTAAACCAGCTGTGCTGGGTCAAGGTCACATCTAAAACCTGCAGGGCACTGGAGGCCTGGAGCTGGACACCTGTGATTTAGGGTTACACTGGAGCCAAGACAGAGACATAAAAAACGATAGAAATAACATCATAAAACAACCGTTATCGTACCTCCTGAGCGGCCTCCATCAGGCTTGTAGTCTCCATTGCTTATATCAAACAAGTCGGAATCATCAAACTTTCCACCACCTGAAAAAATGATGAACAACCAATTATGCCGTCACATGAGAACACCAACACTTCTGTACTGCTACAGCTGTTTCCACATGTTAACAACATCTGCTGAGACTGAAAATCTGCCACAAAGACACTGCTTGATGATCAATGAACACAAATGTGGGTTTTCTTGATGAATTCAGTCGTTGTCATATCTTAAAAAGGTAAATTTATTTCCATTCATGGTTGTGACAGGAAAAGCATATGTAAGGTCACGTGATTATATCTGACCAAAACCTCAAAATGCCTCAATTATTATGTTCATTTGCCTTCATGATGTGCACTGAAGAACTGACAGGGAAGCAAAGAGACAGAGCCTCAGGTCAGAGCTGCTAAACTGGAATCTCATCCATAAATCAGTGTCGAACCAACAACCTGCCACTGACAGCAGCTTATGAAACAGAGGCTTACCTCCTCCACCCTTTGGTGGGTTGACAGCAGGTTTGTCAGGTTTAGTGGTAGGTCCTGTAAATACAAATGCATCATGAGAACCAATAATAATATATACGATAAACAGAGCAGATGGATTAAAGTCTATGTGGGCAAAGGCCCACCTGTGAGCACAGCAGCAGTGCTATACGTCCATGCTCTGTGCAGATAGCACCATGTTAGCATTGAGCCACACACAGCAGTCAATCAGCCAGACTCAACATTGATGACTGAGTCCAGACTGAATCTACAGCTGACAGCTCAAAGCAGGCGGGGGAGGGCCAGCCAGCTCGAGCACAGATGAACTTGCTCCACTCTCTCACCCTTGTTGAGGCGTAAAGGAAACGCTTCCCAGTACTCACCATTGCTACTACTAACAAAACTGGAGTGACTGATGGGAATGATCCATGTCTTTACCTGGATTGACAGCGTCTCCCAGATCGAATCCATTGGAATCTGTGACATAAAAAAGAAAATTCTTCAAACACTGTAAGTGATGATTCATTTACCTTCAAATACACTCACACACAAAACAAACATGTAAAATCCATCTTAGCGTCAATGTCCCTGCATCACAAATGATACAAAAGCACAGGATGTATGAAGGCTGTCAGACCTACCAGAGTCTCCAGGACTTGGTTTCTTGGGTTTTTCCGGCTGTGGCTCGTCTGTGGAAGAAAGATTAATTTAAACAAAAACAGTGGTGGACAGTCCAAGCGTGGCTAATGAGGAGCTATTTTATGATTTATGCTTAACAGTTTTGCATTTGTAGAAGTAAAAATCAGACATGAGATTAAAAAAGGACAAATATATTACGCAGAACAAATTCTGACACTCAGCAGAAGACAATCAGTAAAATAAGACGTCAGCGTATCTACCTGGTCCAAATGCATCCCAAAGGTCTAGCTCACCTGAAGGAGAAACACATGGAATTAGTCTGTTAACCCGTCCACGTGTGTGGCTTCAAAACAGGAAGCTGTGCAGCATATCAACTGGGACATACGTTTAAATCTATATTTATACCGTTTTACTTCTGCTTTCACAGTCTTACGTTCTTATTATGAAGCAGTTTCTGGGAAATTTAAAGATGGCACGAATGACTGCCAGAGCCACAAAGAAGAGCATGAAAAACATCCAAGTTTGATTCATCGAGTTTGATTTACACAGACGATATGTTACAATGGATACACCTGTAATCTCATATATATACATATATATGTATGTCATTCATGTCATTACTGAGCACTGACATATTGTGTTCAGGACAATGGGACAGACTAACACAGATCATCATATGTGTAGTATACATCACTGTAAACAAAAGGCCACTGATGGCGTGCTTCAAAGTTCTGTCGTAACACATGAAATACTACAAACCATCCTTTTTGGGCTGCTCTGGTGCCTTTGGCTTCTCTTTGGGCTTTTGGGTTGTCGTTTCTAAAGAAACAGAAAGAAACGAGTGAATGAAACCTTTACAAAAACAATGCTAGGAAAAGTGCCCGATGTGACGGTCACTCACTTATTTCATCCAACCCATCCTCCAGGCTGAGTTCTGTATGAAGAAGACATGAGGAAGAGCATTACAGTTTAATAGTGGAGACTGTTGACAGTAACCACAGGAGGGTAACACTGTCACAAACATCACACTTCACATAAATACCCTTTATATTTATATCTCTATATGTTTATATCCAGCTTTGTCAGCATGTCTGATTTCCTCTGAGTCTTTAAGTAGCAGACACAAACATGCCCGTGTGGGCCCATGGTGGGAAGCTGTGAGTGACCTGGGTCATGAATGGAAGGCTGGGAGTGCTGGGAGTGCTGGGAGTGCTGGGAGTACCGGCAGAGCGAACATGTCCAGAATGGTGACGTCACATTAGATGGTTTCATGCACAGTGTGGAAGGCGGCAGGCAGCTGTGAGGTTCATGTTTCACAGTGACTGCTGTTTTTATTTCCCGCTGAACGCCATAGTTTTACATTTCTATCATGTTTTCTACGATATCATCACTGAATTATTAAGATGTTTGGTATCGTGTTGTTTATTTGTAGCCTTTGTTTATTAACATATTTTAAATACCTTCACGATCTGTAGTTTGTAAAACTAATCTTAAATACCAGTTTCACTAAGTCGAACTTAGAACTGGGAAAACTGGCTGAAATTAACCAATTGAATTTTTTACCTATTCATGTTTTTATTGCAGAATGGAGTCAGAATGTTCCCTGTGCTATTGAAAGCAGCACTGAGTATCGTCACAACCCACAGTCCACACTAATCACATGCCAGATGTGCCGGGCCCACAGCTCTCTGTGCCCCTTGCGTGTTGGATACAGTCATACAGTGTATTTGCTGGTTGCTAGGGCAGCTCTGACTGACACATCAAGAAGCTGTAAAAAGCACGAGTCACAACTGAAAGTAGGAGGTGTGAGCCGCACTTTGCCTGAACAAGTGCAGAAATCCAGCACTTGCTGGGCCCGTTGATCTTGTACTGTACACGCCCACAGACAGGTTTGCCTCAGAGCAGCAGCTCTGCAGACCGTCTTAGAGCAGCCGTCCCCAACCCCCGGGCCTCGGACCGGTACCGGTCCGTGAGTCGTTTGGTACCGGGCCGCGAGAGTTGAGGCTCAGGTCTGAAATGTCTGGTTTTCAGGGTTTTTATCGGTTTTCAGCGTTATTTTGTTATCGTTTTTAGCGTTTACTCGGTTTTCCTGGGTCTTTTCACGTGTGTTATGAATAAATTTTCTTTTTTCGGTACCGGTACTACTTTTATTTTGTTGTATTTATCCGCGACACCTTAAAGGCCGGTCCATGAAAATATTGTCGGGCATAAACCGGTCCGTGGCGCAAAAAAGGTTGGAGACCGCTGTCTTAGAGGACTCGTGTGCCTTTTGGTTCATCTGTGGTTATAAAACACAACCAGGACGCACTTTGAACCACATGAATGCAGCAGTAAACAGAAAAACAAGAAACGAGAAGCACGAAGCTGCACTAAGGCAGCTCGCTCTCTGGCCAGTACTCGAACTAGTTTTTGCATATATTCCTTGTATCTGCTTTGCACTTTTTAAATATAGTTTGTGACCAGATGAGTGCAGCATGACAAATGTTGTACAGCAGCAGGTGATGGACAACAGAAGCTTTCGGATTTTGTTTCATTTTAGTTTCATTCTCTGGTGTCTTCCTACAATTAGTTTATCCATGCTGGGAGTTTGTTGTTTAATTGTTTGGCTTATTATGTAATATATACGCAGCCTATATTTGTAGATCTGTGTGAAGGGAGGTTTCTTCATTTGATTGTTGTGTGTATTATTGTAGGGTCTACCTTACAATATAAAGCACCTTGAGGCGACTGTTGTTGTTGTGCTGAATACAAGACAACTGAACATACAACGTTGCCTCTCTTCACAGTTCTGTCGTTAAAGATCTGACACATTTTGGGGTCAAGTTGAGTTTTTCAGTCTATTTTTCTCAGTCTGTTTCAACCTTGGTGGATGTAAGCAACATTTGAGTGGACATGAGCCCACTCTAATCCCCCCCAGAATTCAGTCAACAGCTTTGAAGGTATCGTGCTGACAGACAGACAAAACGCACATATGCACACAGCACCACAAACCTACGGCCTTTTCTGACTCATGCCAGGACAATATGTATTACATGTAGATTACTGATCAGCTGTGGCTCTGATTCAGTGTTGCTCATGGTCACATGACCTGTGACAGGTGATGTAAGACGATGGCTCAGAGGTCCATCCTGGGAGTTCTGCAGTTTGAATGTGTTTTAATTCTTTTCTCCAAATATCAATTCCCCATCAAACATGCGCGTATGGCCCCACGGTGAGCACGCCAGTGTGGGTGTTTCGGCGTGTTTCCTGGGTTACAGTTATAATTTAAGATTTATGCAAAGTATCGTGACGAGCTGTGGGTGAAGTAGAAAACCTCAGTTACTACACTGCGTGCCATCTACTTTAGAAAGCATGCCTGTGGTTTGCCATACCAGCTCTGTTTGAGTTTCATACAGGAAGTATGACAGAGGAAGACGTGCAAATGGCGTGCAAACTTTAAATGTAGCTGACACTCACAAAGGCTGGACTGATATCTGTCAGCTAGCTTAGTAACACCCCCAAACAGGATGCAGAAAGGACACCAAACCTAGATAAGTGGCAGAAAATGAATGGATGGATTTTTGTCCCCATGACGTTTTCCCGTGGAAAAAGTTTATACCTTGGAGTATAACTATGTTGAACAAATCCTGGATGTGTATAATATGATGTGATATGATATGTGTGTTACTTGTATTTGATTTTTGGAGTTGTTACTGAGCACTTTCTTGTTGTTAGTGTCTTTAATGTCTGTAATTTAGTGTGATGTGTTTATTGTTATTAACCTCTGTCTCTCTTCCACAGCATGTCTTTATCCCGTCTTCCTTCTCTCTCCCTAACCAATCACAGCAGATGGCCCCGCCCCTCCCTGAGCCTGGTTCTGCTGGAGATTTCTTCCTGTTAAAAGGGAGTTTTTCCTTCCCACTGGGTTGGGTTTTTCTCTGTATGTATTATTGTAGGCTCTACCTTACAATATAAAACACCTGAGGTGACTGTTGTTGTGATTTGGTGCTGTACAAATAAAATTGAATTGAATTATCGTTGTGGTTATTTGTCAGTCTCCAAAACATGAACTGGATTTCCAAGAGGTCAAATAAATGTAATGTAAAGTGAACAGGGACTTGGACACTAGTGTTTGAACCGAGGAGAAGATCAGCTTGGTTGATTTGGATCTTCTCACATTAGTCCAAACAGATATCCAGCCACGTCAGGCCCACTCACACTCGCACTCACAATCTTTTCTACAGGCACCCCAACCTTCATTTGTAAATGAATGAAAATAAAACTGTTTGCTTGATCCTGACGAGCAGCATCTTTTCGCTCTAAACTCGTACCAGTCGTGTGACAAATTGCTTCCACTTCTGGAATTTGGTGTATTCCCAAAAAGGAAATAATCCTGGAAACCTCAGAGGAACCAGCTATTATGTGTTTGACCCAAAGAACAAAAAGACCAGAGGACCACACTAAGGACACTGTAACAAACATGTAATAAACATTTTTAAACATTATATGAAATGTAGTGTTAATGTAATTATTCCAAAAAACATCTTGAGTATGGAATATGTTGCAAATGATATGAGCTTCAAGCCTAAACTCTTTAATGACATCATTGCGCTCTGGGAGGAACATCCTTCAATCAATAACTCGAACATTTCGGCGGCTACTGTGTAGCGTCTGTAACTGATACATGTTTTCTAATAAACGGGTTATGAGTTTGTTTAGCGAAAGAAAAGTCCGCTTTATTTGAAAAAGCACACAAAAACCCCACACAGGAAGCCCAGATCTCCCAGTGTTACACTGGGAATTGAACGCAGCCTATATCTGTAGATCTGTGCGAAGCTGGCAACATTAAATTTGCTTCAAAACCCCACGTGGGCATGACGTGATCAGCGATTGGCGCACACGCATTAACGTTTTGAGAGACGTGTTATGCGCAGTTTCAGACGTTTGTGCGCACTAGTGATGGGATTTCCAGCTCTTTTTAGAGATCCGGCTCTTTCGGTTCGGCTCACTAAAAAGAGCCGGCTATTTCGGCTCCGAACCGGCTCTTCAGATTGTTTTGTTGCTTTAATTAATTTATTATTAACAATAATATAAAATTATGCACAAAAGGAATTACTAACGTAAAAAAAGTGGTTTTATTTATATATGTTTATATATAAATATATACGGTGGCACCTAGAGACAAAACACGTACAAACTCCAAAACACATTTCTAGCATTAACTGAACTTCCAAACAGAGCTACTAGATCACTTAAATTACACAATTGAAAGCATGTATGTATTATATGTGTATTCATACACAAGCACTCATATATATTCAAATAATT